TTCATGGCTAAAGAGGGGGCCTGCTGAAATGCTGAAAGAGAAACTCTTGCCCTCTGGATCCCTTGTCACATAGCTAGTCATTTGTCAAACCCTGCTCCTTTCTGCAAAACCTTCCGGCACCTGGATCTTCCAACCCCTTGCTGCTATGAGAAGCTCTGTCCAAACTCTGGGGGATCTTCTGATTAGAGTGTCCTAACTTCTTCACCCTGTTCATTGGTTGATTGATTGATTCATTCATTCAATGATTCATTCATTTGTTCACCAATTATCAGCTATTTTGTGGTCGACTTCATTGGGGCTCCAGACTTTGTTTGAGGACTCCAAAAATGAGAAGACACAATCCCGCCATTCTGCTTTGCTTATATCCTGGTTTGAAGAACACTTGCAAGAAAATTATTACACTATATTGTGACTTGCTTAGTAATAAATGAAATAAGAGAACATGAAAGTACAAAGGCCTCCCAGAGAATCCAGGCCATGAAGGGTGAATATAAGTTTGCTCGACAAAGAGTGGGAAGGGGAGTGCTGGACAGAGGGCCAGGGTCAGAGTTGAGAATGGCACATTCATGGTGCTCAGCTGAGGATGTGAGATGGAACACTGGGAGATGCAGGGGGAAGTTGAACCATGGAAATGGTTTGGAAGCAGAATTTGGAATTTAGTTCTATAGGAATGAAAGACACAAGGGTGGTTTTTAACCAGGTGAGTAACATGATCATCCCTGCTTTTGCTGAGGGAAAATTATACAGGGAAGGTGAAGAGCAGATTAAGGAGGAACATCCAATGGCCAAGAGTAAGATCCCAAAGGAGACAATGGACAAGGCGCCATCAGGAGCACAAGCAAGTGAGCTTCCTGCCTCCAGCTCTCCTGCTCTGGAGTGGATGCCTTCTTTCATTGTGTTACCTCTGTTTTGTCTGAAATTTTCTCTACGCATTGCCTATGGCAACCGAAACATTTTGTTCCACAGAAAGGAGTATTCAACTCTGCTCAAAAATGGAAGAAATGACATGACTACATTGTAAGTTCAGTGAGGATAGTAATGGTATCTTTTCTTCCCAAAACATTCATGGTACCTGGTATGAAAGAGGGGAGGGGCTCAAGAAATCTTTGATGAGCTGGAATGACTCCAAAAACAATATGCAGGGTGTATTAGTTTCCCACGAATGCTGTAACAAATCACCACAAACTAGGTATTTTAACAGAAATGCAGCTTCTCACAGTGTGGAGACTAGAAGTCTGAAATCAAGGTTTCAGCAAAGCCATGCTCCCTCTGAAGGCTCTAGGGGAGAATCTGTCCTTGCCTCTTCTAGCTACGTGGTTGCCCACGGTCCTTGCTGTTCCTTGGCTTGTAGACACGTCCCTCCAGTTTTTGCCTCCACTGCCCTGTGGCCTTCTTTCCTATGTCTCTGAATCTAAATTTCTCCCTTCTTAGAAGGCCACCAGTCATTGGAGTAGAGCCCACCCTAATCCAGTGTGACCTCATCTGACTTGATTACATCTGTAAAACTCTATTTCCAAATAAGGTCACATTCACAGGTATCAAGGATTAGGGCTTGGACATATCTTTTTTTTTTTTTTTTTTTTTTTTGGCGGTGGGGTGAGCAATTCAATGCCTAATGAAGGGTGTGGTATGTGCTATTCTTGCATCTCTTGCAGTTTGAACCTTCCCTGAAGGGACTTAACTCTACATGGGGCAGATTGTACCAGGGCAGCTCCAGAACTTCAGATAATTGTATGACACAGTCAGTATGCTCTTTTATAAACAATTAGGCTCATCCATTCTTCAAATGCGTGAGACCCTACTAGGTGCCTGACTCTGTGCCAGGATCTAGATATGCAGAGGTGAATAAGCCAGACCTGGGCTCTGCCCCGATGGAATAAAATTATTTGACTGTGTTTTAAACTTGCCAAAAGTATAACAAATGCTGTTGGCAATTACATGACTAAAAATTTTTTAAAAGGAACGGAAATTAATCATTCTTTTGCTAGGAGTTAAGCTAAGACTCACAACTGGGAGAATGTTATCTCACAGAACTATGCCTTATCTACAAGGGCTTCTGTCAAAAATGTGAAATCCATTTGGAGTTCCGTAAGTCCGAGCACAGCAAGGAGGCCAGGACAGCCAGTAGGCCCAGGTGGGCTCGAGCGAGGGCAAAGTCGAGTGAGCTCCCTGGATCTCCTGTCCAAGGGCCAAATTACAGGCAGTTCTGTGTGGCCTCACCATGAATAAGGCCACGCTGAGTCCTCCTGAATCACTTTGGTGAACTTCAGAACTGCCACAGTGATGCTCCTTAAGGACTTTTCCTGGCCCAGTAAGCGTGCTGGGTGACCCAGAGAAGAAACATCCTAGCAGTTGTTTAGGGTTCAGGGAATTAGCTCCAGAACTGCTGTGATTAGTCTCTGTGCCTTCATGTTTGACACACCATTTGCTTCCCTTCCTGTAGGCTGCAAAGCACTTACAGGTGTAGGGCCTCGGTGGGCCAGTCTGTGTGATTCAGAGGTGTGACATTATAGCCCACATTGTCCAGTACTGTCAGCTTTATTGTGATAAAGGTGATGTTTCGCTCTCCATCTACCAAACCCTGGTCTGCCTCAATTACATACAAAATTAGTTAGGAAGCAGGGATGCCGATTATTAGGGTCCCCTCAAATCTTGAACTTCCAAGGAAGGAAGGAAGGAAGGAAGGAAAGAAAGAAGGGAGGGAGGGAGGGAAGCTCTTTGCTTCTAAGAAAACTATAATCTAATGAGACAGAGAAGAAAAATATTATTGTTCCCATATTTAGCATGCAAAACAAACTCATGCAAAATAGAACGTGCATGAATTCAAGGAAATAGAAATAAAGATAATTGTGAGGTACAACATTTCTCAGTGCCAAAGGAAAACCAAGGTAAGTAATTACCTAGGAAAGATGGGGTTAGATAAGAAGGCCAGAGGTGAGATTAAAATGGTGAAGCAGGGGCTTTAAAAAATATTTGTGATTTCTGTGTGTGAGGTTGTGGGGTGCAGTTATAAAAATGGGAAGAAAAATGCAATAAAATGCAAAGTCACTTACGCATTCGGCAGATATCCATTGAATATCTATTGTGTGCCAGGCATTTTGCTGGGTGAATAAGACACTGTCACTATCTTTCTCAGTGGAAATTCCAATGAAATAAAATAGACAATAGTAAACAAGAACTTTAATTATTGTATGATTAGAATTTTGATCAGTGTATGACAGAGAATCACAGTGGGTGTTATGTGCAGCTAATGTACAGAGGCAGAGTATAGTGGGGGCCTAACCTGGTCAAGGAGAGTGTGAGAAAACAAACACTGTGTTGCATATCCGGTGTTGTGTAACCTGAAGTACAAAAGAACTTCACATTTCTGGAGTGATTATTATTTTTTTTAAATTGTTTATATCCAACAGAATCATTTTCACATTGCTCTAAAAAGTCAATATGCTTTGCAACAAACCATTCCGGGACAACTGGATATCCACAGGCAAAAGAATGAGTTAGCCATCACTTCCTCACACAATAAAGAAAAAAATTAACTCAAAGTGGATCATCGACCTAAATATGAGTTAAAACTGTAACACTCCTAGAATAAATGAGAGGAGTAAGTCTTCAGGATCTTGGGTCAGGCAAAGCTTTCTTGGATAGGACACAAAAGCACAACTGATGAAAAGAAAAATAGATCAATTGGACTTTGTCAAAATTAAAAACTTGTGCCATGAAGGATACCATCAAAGAAAGTGAAAAGAACACCCACAGGACAGGGAAAAATAAGTTTTTGCAAAACAAATATCTGATAAGGGACTTGCATCCAGAATATATAAAGAAGTCTTACAACTCAATAATAAAAAGGCCAAAATCCAGTTTTAAAAAATGGGCAAAGGGTTTGAATAAACATTTCCTCAACAAAGATAGACAAATGGCCAATAGGCACATGAAAAGATGCCCAACGTTATTCGTCATGAGAGAAATGCAAATCAAAACCACAATGAGATCTCACACCATGCCTGCTAGGATGGCTGTAATAATAATAATAATAAAAAAGACAGGATTCCAAGCATTGGTGAAGATGTGGAGAAACTTGCAGCCTCTTACATCGCTGGTGGGAATGCAAAATTGTGCAGTCAATTTGGAAAATGGTCTGATAGTTCTTCAAATGTTTAATATAGAGTTAGCATGTGATCCTGCAATTCCACTCCAGGTATATTCCCCAAACAAATGCAAACATATGTCCACAAAAACACATACATGAATGTTCAACGTACCAATATTCATACTATCCAAAAAGGGAGAAAAAAAACAAATGTCCATCAACTAAATAATGGATAAATAAAATGTAGCCACTCCATACAGTGGAGTATTATTTGGAAATAAAAAGAGTGAAGTACTGATTCATGCTAAACGTTGAAAACATTACGCTGAGTGAAAAAAGCCGGCTACAAAAGACAACATACTGTTATTCCATTTTAATGAAATACCTCGAATAGGAAAACCTATACAGACAAAATGTGATTTAGTGGTGGCCCAAGACAAGTGGAGGAGGGGGTGGGCAGGAAATGGGGACCGATCCACTAAGGCACTTGTGGATATAGCGTTCTTTGGGGGTGATAAAAATATTCTCAAATTGATTGTGGTGATGGTTGCACAATTCTGTGACTTGAATCAAGCCTTTGAATTGTACACTTTAAGTGGATGAATTATATGGTATATGAATTAAATTTTGATAAAGCTGTTATCCTAAAAATTATATTATGCTTAGTATATTCAAAATCTAATCTCCCTTCCTTCCTTCCTCCCTTCCTTCCTTCCTCCCGCCCTTCCTTCCTTCCTTCCATCCATCATCAAATTCATAAGCCTGGGATGGACTATGTTTAATCCATGGAATGAAGTATAATTATATTATCAGTTGGGTGATAAGAAAAGATAGCTAGTTAAAAATGAATCATTCTTTTAATTTGTGGAACTATAGACAAAGAGAATATCTGAAGTGTAAGCACATCTCCTTTATGAGATTTATTTTTTTATTCAACACATATTTATGGAACATTATTAAACATTTGAGGCACTGTACTTGGTGCTGTTTTATGATTTCCAAGCAACACACACAAGTCCATTTTTCATAGCATACACCTGAGACCAAGTTTCACATGTTTTAGAACCAGTCTGCCAAGACTACCACCTCCCTTCCTTCGAGCAAGTAGTTTACAAGAGCTGACTTTGGTCTATCAAAAATTGTTTAAGATTAAACACACAATCACATTTGGAAGTCTTTTGATATTTACAGAAATGCAAAAAACACTTTTTTTTTTTTAGAAAAATCCATAAAATAGGCCTATGTCTTCAACAATGAGTTTGTGTGATAGTGCTCTTGGGAACCCTAGACTCACGGGAACAGAGTGTGGAGAAGCAAAGTTTGCCCCTCTGGGTGCCCCTCTCCCTCTCTGGGGCTTGCGGATCTGCTTTGGCTTAGAGAGGGCTGGAAGCTTGACCCAGCTGGGACCGGTAGTCGATACCAGTCCGATGGCCTCTGGAGAAACTGGAGGATTATGAAATTGCTGTCAGCAGACCCAGGTCTACCAAGCTCTAACCAGAACCTTTCTCTTCATAGAGCAAACCCAAACCTGCAAGTGCTGTCTGAGGTCCCACCCAGATCCTCCAAACCTACATCTCCGGAAGCAGGCCAGATGATGCTTACAATCCCAGGAAGTTTGCAAATGGCCATCAGTGACTGAACTCAGATCGATGTGGATTTCCAAGTTCTCTTTAAAAGTAGAAAGAGTTGGGGCTCTATAATCAGGATTCCTCGAGGCTAGAAAGAAGTCCCTGGGTCTGTTCTAATTTATGCTTAGGTCTTCAGAACTTAATTGAATTGGGCCCTGGAGATTAGACATTGGGCGGGGAAAGCAGCCGTTCATCTCATCTTTAATGTAAGGATCATTCCTTTGGTTTATCTTCAGTATTTGCAGGTCAATCCAATTATCTTTCCCCTGGAATTAGTAGTGAAGTAGCAACGTAATCCAGGAGAAAAGGTGTCTATATGTACGAGATTTTACTCCAAAGGAACAGAACACATTTAGAGAAAAACTTCCTGGGGAAAATAAAGTAACTTTAAAATAAAAATCAAAGGGAAAAAAATTCTAGCTAAATAATTAAGCCACTAAAATGCATGCATTATTTTAGGAAAAAGTGTTTTCTCCATTTAGGGCCTGAATTTTCTTTATGATTTACCAATATTCATGATTCCAAAAGTATCTTACTCTCATTCATCTATTTAAGATTATTTATTAGCTACACTCTGTCAGACAAATAGCTGAGATTTTTTTTTTTTTATGTAACTTGAAGTTTTTAAGGATGAGTAGAACAGAGCAGGAAAGACAAATGTAAGACTGTGTGCATGTTTGTACTCTCTTGATTTGGATGATCCTCTTTCAACTGAATCACTTGGATATCTTTAGTGATCCTTCCTTCACAAGGGGAGAAGGTGAGCTCCATTGAATTCATTATAACACTGTCCTTTCCGGACTAAGGACAGTTTGAACAATGGATGCTTATTTCAACAGCCACTGCCCAATGTTCTGAGAGCACCCGTTTGCTTTCAGCCAAATAGCAAAGGCCGATTTGCCTTCTTCCTAATTGATCTGATGGCTTGCTGGCACTTTTAAAATACATTACATGAATCCCTAGAAATCTTTTGTGATGACAGATTTGGTATAGGTATTTTTTAAGTGGTGATCTTTTGCTCTCATGATTCAAGGCTCAGAGATGCTCCCAACCCTCTTGAATCAGGGTGAGTGTTGATGCTCATTTCTCAAGGCAAACGCTCTAAAAGGGCTTCATCATCCTGAGGAGACCTGATGTGCTATCTCTTCCTGACAGAAAGTCTCTTTTGCAGATGTGCCCCATTCAGTGCAAACTCAGTTAACGCAATGATATGTCTATGTGACTCTGATCATCTACACATGCAGTTATGTTTTGTTTCACAACAAGATTTCCTACAGCAAATCTAGATGACTAAACTGAAAACATTTCAACTCAGGCTCAGTGGCTCTTCGTAGGGGCTTCCAAACAACTTAGGTCCCTGAGGTGGCACTTTGACCAAACTGTTTCCTAATCAAATGGCTAATTGGTTTGGGATTCAGTTCCATCATGTTCTCTCCATTCCCCACCCCACCCCCACCCCCACCATTTTCCTTGGGCTTCTGGGTCCCTCAGGATACACTCTGCTGGTGTTATTCCACAAGCCTTGCTCCAAGACTACTGGTGCATAGAACTTAATGTGCTACCATTCCAAGCAGTGAACTGAGATTTCTGCAAACATGTCCACAAGTCATCAGCAAGATGTATCAGCCTGTAATGGTATGTCAGGTATTGCTATAGCCTATACTCTATCTGGGGATCCAAAGCGTGGCGAGAAAACCATTAGTCCACCCACACATATAGGGCCCACCATGTGCAAGCTTCCATGTTGTGACAGACTGTGCTAAGTCTCACCAGAAGCCTGGGTCTGCTGCAAGCCTTTCTGCTCCTCAAGGCAAGGGAGACATTTTTGTGCACTCACGAGTTTGGGAGGGCACCCACATCTTCCACCTTGTTCTGTGAGTTCTTCAATCCTTGGTACTTTTGATTGGTGAGCCAAGATATGATCTTTCTGGGGCTTGGTATAAAATTAAAAAGACTCCATGAGCCGGACCCAAAACAGAAGACCGCTGTTGCTTTTATGTGGACTTCTTTTTTCTGGGCTGGAGGGAACAGTACCGGATTGTGGCCATAAACCCCAGGGATGGCTCCTGGCTGTGGACCGGACACAGACAAGGGCCTGCTTTGCGCAAGGCAGGACACAGATGGGCCCAAGACTCCATGCAATATCCACTCAAAGTCTGTTTGCCCCAGGGGTGGGCTCGTACTCAGACAGTTCATCTGAGTAACTGCATGAAAACAATGCAGAAAATGACATATAGTTGAACCAATGAAAAGCTAGGGTTTTCCTTACCTCCAGAAGAAATAAAGCTTGGGGTTTTTGGTGTTTTGTTTTGTTTTAAAGAAGTTTAAAAAATTTTTTTAAAGAAATTTAAAATGTTTTTTTTTTTTCTGTGTGGAATCACCCAAGGATAGTATATTTACAATTTTTGTGGCCTTGATTGTGTTAATGAAGCTATTATTCGAATAGAAAATGAAAACCATCCCACCATGGAGGCACACTTGGCTGAGTGTTTGGGGACAACAATAGCAGCATCTATGCAAACAGTAGGAGGAGAATCAAGACCAGAACACAGCTGCTCGGTCGGACGGACAGAGCCGAGCTGTCCTGGTCCTTCAGCATACACATCACCCTGGACCAGGAGCCGTTGTTGGGCAGGGGAGCGATGCCTGCCACGTTGCACATGACATTGTAGACATCCACAGACCTGATTGGAGCAGCTCTGAAGTTGGATTTGAAATCTGAAAGGGAAAGGCAAGCAAACAAGTTGTCACAGCTATGCCCTGGGCAGAAAGGGGGCCAAGTCATAACATAGAGAATTATACTCAGGCTCCAGGCAGCTTTGGGACTGGAAACCAGCTCTGTCAATGGGGCGTGACCAACTCATGGTGAACTTGAAAGGGTATCTGGAAGGGGTATAGCTTACAAAAGGAAGTTGCTTTCTACGGCTCATGGAGATGAGTTTCTTTAGAAAGACAAATCAGCAGACCGTCTTTGTGCATAACTGTGGTGCCTTCCTGACAGCAGAGCTATCCTGGAGAGGCAGAAGGGCATCTCCATTTTTGCTGCTCATCTCCACAGAGCCCTGGAGAGCAGGTGTGGTCACAGAAGGTTGACTGTCTTGCTGAGCTCCCCAAACCCAATTACACAGTATGCTTATCTTCCAGAACGTCTATCTAGCAGCAGCTGGTTGGCCAGGGGACCCCAGAGCCACTTAAGAATGTTTCTTCATTTTCCTGCCACATCGAGGTCTCAGGGCTTCATGGAATGTGAACCTATATGGTTTCCTCAGTGGTGGCTACCTCAGGAGCAACAACACTGGTTTCTTAAATATGTTTGGAGGATCAACCGAACATTCCTTGGGAGTCTTTCACTAGCAGATGAAATAACTTAGCCAAGTGGAAAACAAGCGAACCGGTATTGGAGTTAGGGACCCGGGTGAAGGCCCTGAGAGCTCTAGTGGAGAAGAGTGTTGTGCCTGCTTCCACCCAGAGGCTGCACCACACTCTAGCGGTGACGCAGGAATCTAGAAGGTAGGGCTAGTCGTTCACAGCCTAGTGAATACAGAGGAATTTCAGTCAAGAGTGCACCTTCTCCTTCTCCACAGGCGGCCAAGAAGAGGCTGAATACCAAGTACCTGTCTGTTCAAAGAGTGAGTGTAAGAGGTTAGTAGTGTACATAACAGTTTCCCTTTTGGGCCCCAAACCAGAGCTACATTGAGCTTGAATTCAAGAAGGAGATTTTGTCCATCCATAAAGGCCTCTGCTTGTGCTTTTAGTCCGTGTAAGACTTTGAAAGGAAATGGGTGGTTTGGGGGCTGTAAAGCCAAGTTTTCTCCCTTAGAAAATAATCCTTTATAATTGCTTTGCTAAAATGATCACATGTACTTTATTTAAAAAGCAAACGAACACCAGTGGCAACAGAGTCCAGAAGTGCCAACACCAAATCCTGCTCTTATATTAACCCTGAAATTACAAGTACAGAAAAAAGTTTTATTCAGAAAACTCTCCCACAAAGTATGTTAGATCCAGGCCAACTTCCCAAGTGATAGATTTTCCTCACTTTGGAGAATTAATGTTGACTTTAGCATAAGAAGTTAATAGGCTCTACAACCAGCCCCCAGCCACTTAGTAGCTGGATAAGCTCAGGAAATGGGCATAGAAATGGTACCTAAACCATAGCTCCAGGCACACTGCATCTGCTCAATAAATGGTAGCTATTCTTATTAAGAAGCATGTAGAGTAAACACCCCACAAGGGCATACTATGGACTGAAAATGTCACCCTATAAATTATTTGGAGGATTCACTTCACTTTTGGGGCAGGAAGGATAAGGGATAAGCAGCATCACCTCATGGTAAAAACTATTCAAAATCCAGAACCCCCCCGCCCCCCGGAGAGGAGATTTAGGTCTTCCCCAGAATCCCAACCCTTCTTAATATCAAGGTAATTACAACTAGGTGAGGACAGTGGTTAGACTTCCCCAGAGAAGAATCAGCTGCAGTGTGAGAAATCAATGGAAAAGTTGTCCCGGTGATGTAGCAGCAACTCCTCTCTCTCCTTCCGACTTGCCATGGACCTGGACATGATGATCACCCTGCCCCGCCACATGGTGGCCATGTCTTTGTCATGTGTGTGGGTGGGGAGGGTGTGTGGGTAGCGGACAACAGTAAACTCAACATATCCTTCCCCAGCCTTCCAAATGCCCATGTCTTTAACACTCAGCAGGAAAAACTGAGATCAAGCTCTACTGACAAAAAAAGAAAAGAAAAGATTTTACATTGAAAGTACAAAATTAAATCCTATGCACATAAGCAGAAAGAAGAATTGGGTTTTCCCTCCCAACTCCATCTGGTTCCTGACTTCCTGTGCTGTGGAGCTGGGCCTTTGGGCCCAAAGAATAGAGGATCCAGGCTAGAATGAGAGCTTCTAGAAAATTCCTGAACAACAGAACAATACCAGATCCAGCTGGAGAGGACCTGGCCAACCTCAGCTAACTCAAGGTGGCATGCTGAACCTGGATTGGCAATCCAGGTTATTTCCATGAATTTAAATTTTGTGGATATTGAAACCGTTTCTCCTAAAGAGAGAAGGTTCTGCAGCCCCATGCCAGGCCTGGCCACCTTGGACTGCTTTCCGGGTGAGGCTTCCTAGCTCACAGGCAGCTCACTGAATCACACTCCTGCTGTCTTATCTTGAAATGTGGAGTTCTCCGGGGCAAGATTAGGTCGTTCAAATTAGAAACTGGGATTAACCAGAGTGAGGCTATCTTCCAGAATTATTTCCTTTTCTTTCTGCCGGACCAGACTTACTGGCTTCTAAAGCTCCATCTGAGCAGCTGCAATGATGCCCAGCATCCTCCCTGAGCAAGAAGCGCCTACAATTAATCAGGAGGCATGTACCTTTATCTCAAAGTGCAGCTAGATAGCTATTAAAGACCTCGCTCTTAAATTTTCTTCTGAGTAAACAGTCAGTGTGTAAAGCTGTTCAATCTTTCATGAGATTTGGAGCCAGAAACGTGATGGTTTGCGGGAGGCTCTCTCAAGGCGGTCCCTGCCTGGAAACATTGTTGCAGTTGGCCCAGTCCCTTTTCATCAGGGGTCATCTATCTGTCTGTAAAAGGTTTAGGTTTTTAGTTTTACAGGAGCATATGATGGAGGCCTTTGTTGATGGACAAACTCTCCCCTCTGAATTTAACTTTAAGCTAATGTAGCTTTGGGTACTTTGTCTTAAAATTTTGGTTTGAGGCTAGATTTGCTTCTGCTTTAAAACATGCCTGAGACTCTTGTTTATAAACACTCCTTCCACTGACAACTGTTTTGCATTCATGATCTTATTTCTCCCTTCTAAGGAAGGAGGAGGTGATGCTTTTGAATGAAAGCCCTGATGTTTAATGTTCTCCCGTATAAAGCCTGCGGCCTTGGAATGTCCCCAACCTAATCTAATGAACGGTTGACCTCAACAAAATCCTTACGCCTCCATCCCTCATTCATTAGGTTTTTGAGCTCTTTGGTGAATTAATGTTGAACATAGAGTAAGAGGTTATATCTGACTAACCTCTGGCTTGGTTGACAGGGAGCACCCAGTAACTATCATTGGTTGATGGCAATGTGCTTGGGCATCCTCTGAACTCTCTTAGGCCAATGTTGTGAACCCAGTTAGCACTCTATAAATGTTTGCTGCTACTGGTACTGATGTTTACTTCAGGACTTGGGAACTTGGATCACATATGGGAAAGGATCTAGACCAGTGTGTTCCCTAAGCCCAGGAGGCCAGGGGCTCCCAAGGAGCGTGCAGAAATAGACACCTAGGTGTTCTCAGCAGCTATTTTGTGGTAAGTAGAGTGACCCAAGGCAGACAGAATGAGAGAGGTCGACATAGATCTTTGTCTTGCTATATCAAGAAGACGAGCAGACCTTCTAGGCATGACTTCTAACCTGTACTTTGAACGGGAAGAACAGACTGTCATGGGCTGAAACATTCTGATCTACGTCCAGAAAATGGCACTTGGAGTATGGATGTCGGGGTAAGTTTATTACATTTCATAAGGAGAGTGGACAGTCGTAAGGGAGAAGACCAGCTTATGAGCCAGTCAACTGATGGCTGAGGGCCGCTGTTGAATGCCTCTCCCACCTCTGCTTTTTTTTTTTTTTAAGAAAGAAAGGGGTGTTTGGGTCATGGTATGACCTCCAGAGTGTCTGATAAACGTTTCCACAATGTGAGTTTACAGTCCTCTGTCAGTTAAAGCAAATGACCAAATAGACCCTCTCCATCTTCTCTCTATTCCAGCCTTAGAAATTTATCTGGTCAAGGGAGGCAGAGTACCTTTGTTCTCATCCAAGCCGTCCCTGGGCCTTCTGGCTCACCCTCAAAGTCATTCTCAAGGTCATTGCCTAGCCCGGCCTTGAGCACATCCCAGCTTCTGGCTGGGCCCTAAACCAAAGGCCCCCCGCAGGCATGGGTGCTCCAGGCAGGGCGGACCTGTGGAAGAGTCAGACCCTGGGAAGTGATCACGTCAAGTCTGAGACTCACAGCTGTCAGCAACCTGGTGCCCGATAAGCTTTCCTGGACATCAGATAGCTGTGAAATAACATTTTGATGAATTAAGTAAAAAATGAATCACAAACATGTGGAATACATTTTCCTCACTGCGCTCAAGATTTAAAATTTACAAGGAAAAGCATTTGACCGCATTTGCCAAACCTATGAAGCATTTGAAAGCAAGCCAGCAAAAGATGTTTCATGGAGGCCAGCTGGGTTTGCTCCGCTTGGCTCATAAAGAGGTCCATAAAGAACTCACTTCAGCCTTTACTAGTGCTGTCAGCCCCTCCTGGAGACCACTTCTTTGGGAACGGAGGACAAAGCATGGGTCATGTCTTGCCTACCGGGTCCAAAGGCCAGGAAGATGCCCCTCATGTCCATGAGCTCGTTGTCATAGCCGTGCCAACCGTGCTGCCAACCTTCCCTCTTGCCAGTGCTGTTCATCCAAAAAGGAAGTGTCTCTCGATTCTGAAACCAGGCAAGGCAGTTACATTACACTGTGTCCCAACCATCGTGATGAGTGAGCATCTGGCCCAAACTAGCACCCAATGTGGGGATCTCCTTCACAGCATTCTCCACTGGGGTCATGCAACCTTGGCTGGATCACGTCCTACCCCAGGTAGCACAGACCTTTGGAGGCAGCCCCTGAAATTGCCAGAGAGCTCTAGCTATAAAGGTATTTTCTTACACTGAGCAGAACTGAACCTCATAATCAGTTTGAAAGCCACTAAATATATCATGTTAGAGACAGAAGGGATGCTAAAGTGCATCTACGGTATAGTGAAAAGTATATTTGGCCTTTGTCCCAGGTTCCTGGCCCAGAGCTCCTAAAGCCCTTGGAATTTCCGGAGTGAAGGGGGTGTTTTTTGTTATTCGTAATGAGCCCCTTTCTCCCCATACCTGAGTGTCTGTTAATGAGATGGCTGACTGGGGTGGGGGGCTGGGGAGCTTCAGGAGGTCACTGGAGGGACCAACTGCATGATGGAGACGTCCTCTGACCTGTAAGACTGCACTCAGTCTTGGGGCCAACGGCGGAGTCCCCCATGCCTATGCAGTGAAACCCGTGTAAAAACCCTGGAGCAACGTGGTTCAGGGAGCTTCTGGACCAATGAAAAAACCGATGTGCTGGAAGGGCAATGGCCCCAAAGACAGCCTGGATGCTCTGTTCCCCTCACCCGTCATCCTTTGCTCTATGCCCCTCTTCCATCCAGCTCTTCCTGAGTTGTCGCCTCTGTAAGAAAACTAATCACAAATAGAGCACATTTCTGAGCTCTGTCATCCATTCTGGTCAGTTATCGAACCTGAAAAGGGCTGGGAGAACCCTCCAATCTGTAGTCGAGCCAGACACTAGTGTGGGTAGGCTGGGGACCCAGAACCTACGGCTGGCAGCTGAAGAGGGGACAGTCAGGTGGGACGGAGCCCCCTAGCTCGAGGGGCTGCTCCAGCTCCGGGGGGGTCAGTGTCCAAACGGAACTGAACTGCAGGACACCCGACTGCTGTCCAAGAGTTGTTGGAAAACACGGTGTCTAATCGAATCACCTCGTTTTTCTAGCAAAGCTGTCGAAGCCCAGAGCCCTTTCCACCACCCCCCCCCCCCCCGCCCCGGATCCCACCCTCATTGTTCCTTTATTCCAAGCTCCAACCTCAGGAGCAATGTGGGTTAAATTGGTCCCCTCCTCTTCATTTAGTCAAACATGTGAAAATGGCACGGCCCTTTACATCTTTGTTTCCTCCGACGGTCTTCATTCGGGACGGGCTCCAGAACCATCACTTCCCTGTCACCCTCTTTCCTTCAGAACTCAATTTCCTTAGATGGCAGATGCTGGCTTGTGTGACAGCCATGGGTCCCGCGGAGGACGCATCCCCAGCCCTTCACCGCAGACTAACCATTCGAGCCCGACGGTCCAGGCACCTCTGCTGAGCAGGGTCTGAGATCACAAACACTTGAGATGCAGGAAGTAGAACTGACTGGTCACGACCAAAGCAGGGAAGCAACAATCCCAGCAATTTACAGGTTGGCTCATAAGACGCATAATTGTACCGTCGACTTAGTTCACCAAGAGCCTGCACTGACATTCACTCTGTTGTCACCACATCCCAGTGTGGATGATGTTCTTCCCACTGTACGGTTGAAGGAACTAAGGCCCAGAGAGGTTAACGGACACTCTGAAAGCCACACAGTGATCGAGAGGCAGGGCGGGGATTGGAACCCAGGAGGGTTGTCTCCTGGTCTTCGTGCACCTTCCATGATGACCCCACGGGCCTCTTTACTCACCGGGTAGTGTGGCCAGTTCTCAAGTGTATAGAAAAAAAGGTTTTAGGGCGCCTGGGTGGCTCAGTTGGTTAAGCCACTGCCGTTGGCTCAGGTCATGATCCTGGAGTCCCGGGATCGAGTCCCGCATCGGGCTCCCTGCTCGGCGGGGAGTCGGCTTCTCCCTCTGACCCTCTTCCCTCTCGTGCTCTCTATCTCTCATTCTCTCTCTCTAATAAATAAATAAAATCTTTAAAAAAGAAAAAAGAAAAAAAAAAGAAAAAAAGGTTTTAAAATTGGATTCCAGTTCGTCGCTTTCTGGTTCTGCAAACTGGTTCGGACCCAGGGCGAGCTACTTCTCGGTGCTTCGGTTTCCCCGTCGGGTGTGATAATACCTCCCTCACAGCGTTTCTGGAGGAGGACATGACTGTGCACGATGTGCCCGGCACATAATAGATGCCCAACAAACGGCTGTGGGCCGGTCACCAGGTGCAGCTGGCTGTGGGGTGTGAAGTCCCCTTGGCTTATTTAGCTGTCATATCGCTTTGCGCACCCATCCTGTCGCACCCAATAAATCGCTCCCTCACTTTCCAAAGCACACTATTTCACTGATTCTCCGTTTCCTGAATTCCCATCATCCCCTGTCCCTCCTTCTCCAGCTGTAGCTTGTATTTTTCCATGGGAACGTTTTTATTAACTTACTGCATTTCCAAACCTGTGATACTGTTTTTGTTCTTTGTCTATGGTGATGATCACAACACATCCCAGTTTAGCTCTGTCAGCTAACTGGAGGTGTCGCGTCCTCTCTCGGGCTCCGGGGCAGTGACTCCTGCAGCACCAGGTAGAACATTCTGTTACTAACGACTTCACCAACTGTGACCCCCACGGGACATATGTGCCCCACAACAAAGGGACAGATGAAAGGGAGGCGAAGACTGATTATACCTGATTTGCGAATTCCACAAAGACAAACATACAGCCGTGAAACCTCAGCCTGAAGGTCACTGGGGCTCTGGCGGATCGTAGGGGAGTGCGTTCCTTTTTATTAAAGTGACAAGTCGCTCCAGTCAAGCAACTGTTCTTACTGATTTTAAGAAGTAATAAGGAACTGGCTGCTCATGTGAGAAGCTACCCGTCTCCCGGCAGTGACTGAATGCCTTACGTGTCATGCACAGCCTTAGCTTCAAAATGGCATCTGGACGATTTTCTCCTTTTCCTTTCCCGGTGGCTTCCCCTGTCTTTGTTGTGTACCCCACATTGTCACCTAGATGCATACAGATGAGGTCCTACTGATGCATGTGTGTCCCAGACCTCTCAGCCTCCAGAGCAGAAATTCCCAGGCTGCGAGTCCTCCATCTGCTGGTTGAAGAGAACTAATCCCATCCAGACTCTCGCGGGCCCAGGGACTGCCACATAGAACCACCTAGTGATGTCCGGGGAGGTGCTCAGACCCTCCAGATTTGGTCAAAGCTGAGACAGGGGTAGAAGAGTGGTGTGTGTGTGTGTGTGTGTGTGTGTGTGTCCATGGGAATGGGGAGGGCAGTGCTCCTAAGTTTGGGTCCCTAAGAAAACTGGGCTCATGGTGGAGTTGGCAGCCAATTCCCAGGAAACACCGGGTCCTCCTGCAGTGTGTTGTAGAAAGCCCAAATGAGGGCCCCACCTGCAAGGGGTAGTTCCCCCTAATGAATAGGTGAGGGAGGGAATCTAGAAGGAATAGGGTCTTGTTGGGGAGAGGAGTCCCTGGCAACAGTGGGAGATGTCCTTATCCGCCGCCATGGGAGAAGAGCCTGTTCATTCCATTCTGCAGCTCGACAGACATGCGCTGAGCTCTGAATCTGTGTCGGGCTCTCTGCGAGGCTTTTGGCTGAGAAGCACAGAGGAGGAAAGCATTCCTTCCTCTGAAAGGGCTTATCTTTAGTGAGGAAAGACGAAGAAGGGTTACGGCTTCTGTATATTGATCCCTGAGCCGGCCGGGACAGGCGGTGAGGTAGGATGAGGCCCTGGGGAGGCCTGTGGTGAGAATCACTGTCCGTGGGGTGGGCGAGCGTGTGTAGCAGGGGACACACAGTGAGAGGCCACACAGGTGCTGGCCCCGAGGCACCCCCAGCAACGGACCCCTGGGAGCTCTGGTTGTGGGGAAGGCTGGGCACAGAGAAGGCCGGGCCAGGCAGGGAGAGCTTGTACCGCATCGTCCGGGAGAAGCATGAGAAGGAAGCCGCCATGGGAAAGAAACCGTTGGCGGGTGTGAGGAGGAGGGAGGACCTGGAGGTCGCCACTCTCGGAGCCTGCCTGAGGTTGTGCCAGTCAACAGGGTGACCAACCATCACGGTCTGCCCGGGACTGAGGGGCTGCCGGGGATGCCCCACTTTGGGACAGTTCTAGACAAACCAGGACATGTTGGCCATTCCACAGTGAACACTATCCTGGAAATTTAAACAAAATCTTCCCCAAGTGTAATTTGTTCAGCATGTTCCAGACTTTTCGGGACCCTTCCTCTACACACAGGCAGGTAGCTGTGCTGGGACCTTCCTTTGGTGAGCCACTGAACTAATTAATCATTCCTAATGGGAAGGAACCAGAAATAGCTCCGCAGGAGGGAATACTGGGAGAAATGGTTACTAGGTTCATACACTTGTGTTCTTTGATTTCCGTGTCTGCACTCCCCGGCCTGTTTATGTGGAAATGCCTACCATCAGCTCGCTTGAATTTGGGAAGCCACGGGAGTCTTTATGAGGTAAGAGTTATAGTTTTCAGACTAGATCTTTGTCTTAATCATCCTTAGAATTAAAAGAGAAAAAATAAAAAAGGCATGTTCACTGTTCACTCCCAAATCAGCAAACCAGTTAATGAAGTTTGTTCAACACATGCCTGGTGGCATCTCTGAATTCACCATTTTATGGCAGATTCAGTCCTTTATGGTGCTGAGCTGAGAGGTATAGGGAACACAGTCAGATATGGGGGTAGGGTTGGGAGTGAGGATAAAGGCAGAAGGAAGAATAGAGGGACAAGAAGCAGCAGGAGCAGCTTGAACAATCCGTGTCATTGGTTTCTGTTGGCACATGGCCAAGGTACTTGCTGTAGCAAAATCTCATTTTTTTTTATGGGTGCATTTTGGGGATTAGCATGTATACCTCTCCCCTTTGCCTTCTGATTTCCCCTCAGTGTAGATCAGAAAACGGTTGCTAAGCTGCAGGCACAAATACTCCTGAGGAGACAG